TTCGGACGATCACGGCTTTGAAGGCAAAGGGCCATCACACATCACTCTTGAGGTTGGAGTCGACATTGGCACGGTCCACTCCAAGTGTTCATGCCCGGCAACTCTTCACAGACCTGCAAGTTGGAATCAGCCATCCTTCGAGACTTTTTCTGGACACATTGGAGGCACAGGGATATGAAGTGGCGCCTCCGGGGTCAGAAGACATTGTCGTGGATGATGTTGACACAGAGCAGGACGGGGAGATGGAGGATTCTGTGCCTGAAGAAGCAGATGACGGTGCCGGAGTTGGTGACATTTTGTTAGACGGGCAAGAGGGCAGAGTGCCAGCTCAAAGGACTGTAACAATATCGGTACCAGCATGCCCTGCAACCCACCTGCTGAGTGTTCTGGTGCAGACGCTGCCAGACAACAAGATTGTGGAAGATGTGCACAACAAGATTCGTAATGATTCTTTGTTGAACAAAACCCGCAAGCAAACATACTCCACGATTCAAACTGTGATCGAGAATTCAAACGTCTTTGAAAGCCGTTCAATCAGGCATCCGGCAAAAGTCAAACGGGAATATTTTGAAAGGGAGTTTTGGAATGTGGACAGGAAGCGCCAAAAGTTGTGCTTCAGAGGATGTGTCCACAAGCTGCCGTCACAGTATACCGAGATTGTCGGCGACAAGACATGGAACACCCTGTCAGAAGAGACACTCGAACGAGCATCAGCTGCGTGGTCATGGCTAATTCACTACAATGATGCAAGACTGGCATCTCAGCATGTTCCCTTGCGTGCTGGGAAGTTTAGCAGCCTTGCAGCCCCTTTGAAGATCTTGAACCATGTCTTGGATTTGACATGCTATCTCTCTCTTGGGGCAAAAACCTGGGCTGCTCTCATGTGGCCAGTGGTCCAGCATGAGGACCAGTCGACAGGAGAGATATATTTTGTTTTGAAGGCAGAGTGCCCGGATGGTTCCAGCGTCAAGGCCTGCTGGATTCATTTGTATGAGCCCCAGTATTGGGAAGTCATCGAAACAGAGGCAGTCTTCTGGAATGGCTTCATTTGCCTCCGTCGTTGTGCTACAAGCTCAGTGTCACTTCTATCCTATATGTTGCAGCATCCCAAGTGACATGTTTTCATTTAGGATTCTGTCAACTGTCGACCCATACAGTAAATAGTACAATAAACTTATATAAGTTTTGCTGTGCTTGTTTTTGCTGACTCGACTGAGGGAAATGTCACAAGCATGTCGGACTCTCGCAGACTGCCAGCATCTCGCCGAGCATGTGATCTCCCAGACTGGAAACGTAGACGAAAAAAAGCGAAAGGAGCTGCAACGAATGCGCCGTCCAAAGCTCATGAGCCTGATCGCTTCTCATCACCTTCCGGAAGATGAGGATTTCATGCGCAAAATTGAGGCTAGGTATTCGACAGCCAAAGATTCAACAGAGGATGAGGATGAGGATGACATTATCATGGGGGACTTTGTTGATGAGCTGGTTCTTGACGACCTGCTTGCTGAGGACAAACAGGAATTTAAACTGGTCTCAGACGCAGTCAGAAAACGCAGAATCAAAAGGGTGCATCAAACCTGGCAGGCCATCAAGACGCAGCAAGCAAAGGCCAAGGCAAAGGGCAAGGCCAAAGCAAAGACCAAAGCAAAGGCCAAGCCACAGGCCAAACGGAAAGCCAAGAGAAAGATTTGTCGCCCACGTATGTTGCCCAGGAAGCAACCCGCGCCCCCTGATGAAAGTGGTCAAGAGGGAGCAGAAGGCAGAGTGCCAGCACCTCCTGCTGAGGTGCCGGTGGAGCCGGAGCCTGATAATCACGTGGAGGCCGCGGAAGGCAGAGTGCCAGCCCCTCCTGCTGAGATGCCGGAGGTGCCTGCTGCAATTCCTGTCCCAGAGCCTGATGATCACGTGGAGCCCGAGGAAGGCAGAGTGCCAGCCCCTCCTGCTGAGATGCCGGAGGTGCCTGCTGCAATCCCTGTCCCAGAGCCTGATGATCACGTGGAGCCCGAGGAAGGCAGAGTGCCAGCCACTCCTGCTGAGATGCCGGAGGTGCCTGCAGTGCCTATCCCAGCACTCGAGCCACGGGAGGTTGCAGTCCGTGGCCCCCAACATCAGCGGCGGCCGAACCGTGTTGACTACCAAGGGGTATGGAAACCTGTTCAATGCCCGGAGTGTCCCAAGATCGCTGGTGAGATGAAGTACGACCCGAATCCTGGTGGCACTGACAAAGCAAAATGGTTTCTCCGAGTTCGTGTGACAGACGGCGGTCTCTTGGAAAGATTCGGAACATTTGTTATAGCGTCGATGTGGTTGCCTGATCTGCTGTGTGTTGTGTCACATTACATGAACCCATGTGTGTCTGGCATTGAAGGCGAGTGGAGCCACCTCGTACCCTATCACTGGGGACGTGTGGCTTCCAAGATGACAGAAGCGCAGGCCAGACAACACGACATTGACCATAGGCCCTGTTGTGGCCCGACCAGGAGGCCTGGCAACAACTAGAGGATTCATCCTGCGCTGCAAAGAAAAGTTGTGTGTCTGTCTGTGTGCTTGCATTGATGTCAGCGGGTCCTGCTAGATTGGAATGCGTCCGAGAGACTGTGTGTTTCTGCTTGGGGAAGACGGATTGCGAAAGCATGTTCGCATTTTCACACATGTGGAATTTGTCACGTGCAAGCACATAGACAATCATTTCGAGTGCCACAACCCGGAAGCCGCACAAACTAGCACATGTGGTTTGAAGCCGTGCGTGCTTGTGACTGAACAGTAGCCGTCCAGAGCAATGCATTTCGCCCCGATCGAACGAGGAGAGTGTTTCTTCAGAGGCGAGCTCTCCCGAATCTTGATCAAAACCGCTTGCGAAAAATTGGCCAAAGCGCCTGACCAGTGGAAACCAGCTGAGAGATGGAATGAAGTTTATGACGACGTGCCTTGGGAAATCATGGTTCGCTACCTGCGTTACTGGCAACGTATTGGCTCCCGCATTACAGGAGGCCTCAGGCTTCTTCGACGGTACGAAGGCCCCTTCCCGAAGTGTTATCAGGTGGGTGAAGGAGAAGAACCGCTGGAGTTGCCGCGCGTTTCTCTCGTTGGTGATTTTGTTTATGTTTGGAACGACGAAGATGAACAACAACGGCAGTTTGTCCTTCAGATGAAACACCTCTCACTTGTTGCCATCCGTCTCGGTGGTCCGGGGGAACTTCCTGACCTTGATGCTGGAGCAATACCTTTGACCGACCAGCTTTGTGCAAAGTTGTGGTGGCAATAATTAATGGATCTTGAGGCGGGAAGGCAGAGTGCCAGCAGCTGGGAAGGCAGAGTGCCAGACGTTGTCGCGTCACCCAGCTCTACCCTGCTTCGCCTGCACGTGATTCGCTTGACAGTGTGGTCAACGCAGAAAAGCGCAACATCCAGCAGTTCGTAGCCACTTCACGTGATTTGTGCATCCCTAATACTATCAAACCCTAAAACTATGGCACTCTGCCCTCTAGCCCCAAACCCTAAATACTAAAGACCCTGAAACTCTAACCCTAACCCTTTCATTACCCTCAAACCCTAACACTATGGCACTCTGCCTCCTAACCCCAAACCCTAAATATACTAAAGACCCTGAAACTCTAACCCTAACCCTTTCATTACCCTCAACCCCCTAATACTATGGCACTCTGCCTTCTAACCCCAAACCCTAAATACTAAAGACCCTGAAACTCTAACCCTAACCCTTTCATTACCCTCAAACCCCTAATACTATGGCACTCTGCCTTCTAACCCCAAACCCTAAATACTAAAGACCCTGAAACTCTAACCCTAACCCTTTCATTACCCTCAAACCCCTAATACTATGGCACTCTGCCTTCTAACCCCAAACCCTAAATACTAAAGACCCTGAAACTCTAACCCTAACCCTTTCATTACCCTCAAACCCTAACACTATGGCACTCTGCCTGCTAACCCCAAACCCTAAATACTAAAGACCCTGAAACGCTAACCCTAACCCTTTCATTACCCTCAAACCCCTAATACTATGGCACTCTGCCTTCTAACCCCAAACCCTAAATATAATAAAGACCCTGAAACTCTAACCCTAACCCTTTCATTACCCTCAAACCCCTAATACTATGGCACTCTGCCTTCTAACCCCACAACCCTAAATATACTAAAGACCCTGAAACTCTAACCCTAACCCTTTCATTACCCTCAAACCCCTAATACTATGGCACTCTGCCTTCTAACCCCAAACCCTAAAGACCCTGAAACTGTAAACCCTGTGCCAGGTCTTCTTCATCCTCGTCTTCTCGGAAAAAACATTACAAAATGTAGTTTTTTTTGTTTTAAAGTTTTTAAAAATTTTTAAAAGTTGTTTAAAGTCTTTAAAAGTCTTTCAAATTCTTTTTAAAGTTTGTAAAAGCTTTTAAAAGCGTTTAAAAGTCTTTTAAAGTATTTTTAAAGCTTTTAAATGTATTTTAATGTTTTTAAAAGTCTTTTAAATATTTTAAAAGCCTTTTAAAGTTGTGAAAAGTCTTTTAAAGTTTGCAAAAGTCTTCTAAAAGTTTCTAAAAGTCTTTTAAAGTCTTCTAAAAGTTTTTAGAATGTTTTTTTTTGCATTTGAAAGTTTTTAAAAGTCTGTAAACGTCTTTAAAAGCCAACTCTGTCGAAAAAGCCCTGTGGATCTAAACCTTGTGGTTCTGGTTCGGTGCAAAAGGGCAATGATATTTGGAGTGTGGAGTTTAGGTTGGGGTTGAGGATGCAGCACAGCCAAGACAAGATATGAGACAACACTCCCGGCGCCAGTTGGCTCCAGCGGGTGGGAGGTAGAAGACACGACTTAAGAACCAGTGTTCAATAATGAGTGGTTGTCTTGGGAAGCATCGCAGCTATAGAGCTCTGAAGTAGGCCCTAAACCCTGAGCCTTAAACCCCGAACCCTAAAGCCGGAAGGTCTTCGGGAGCCAGTGCCTAGGGTCTGGGGAGCTCCCCGAGATTCGGGAGCCCAAGGCCAAGGCCATGAGTGGTGCCAAGCGTCCGGCCCCCAAAGAGGCGGCTGAGCTCGCCCCGTCGAACATCTACGAGTGGAGACTTGCGCTGCGTTTAAGGCCTCATAAGGCTTTTAAGAGGGTGAAGCCCTCCGCTTGAAACCCTTCAACCCTATAGGCCTTAAGTCATAAACCCTACACCTTAAATCCTAAGCTCTATACACCTCAAACCTTGAACCTGAGCTGCACTTGCGGGGGGCGCGCTAAGAGGGCCGACACAGACGGTTTGGGATAGGTATGTTTGTCTACCCCCTCAACCCTAAACCTAGCTCAAACCTAAACCCTAAACTTCCGAGACCCCCAAGGATTCAAGGTTTTGACTTCAAATATGTAGACACCCTACCCTAAACCCGATGTCCTCAAGAAGACAACTGAAATATTTGCTTTTGGACCCTACTTAAACCCTAAACCCTAATCTCTTGGAGCCCATAGTAAACCCATAAGCCCCCAAACTGGGTTTTACGGGTTTAGGGTGTAGGGGTTTGGGTTAACATCCCGGATTTAGGATTTGGCGCAAACCCCAGATCTAAACGCCCAGAAACCCCGACTCCCGATGATACTTCCAAGACACTCGCAGGGACCCGGCGCGTGTCGCCGAGTTTCTCACGTCACTTTCCTTGGACCGCTGGAAGCCGCTCTTTGAAGAGGTGGATGGGGCCACCTTGACAGAACTGTCTCTAGGCCCGGTTTTTCTTCTCTTTTATACTTTTCACGTCGAAGTGTCTCGCGTTGGAGGCTGCAGCAGCTTGTAGTTGCACGAGCATTGCGTTGACAAGCGACGGTTCGATTCAGGGTGGAAGGCGTGGAGGCTATGTATAGTGTATTGTAAGCAGTCTGCTGTCATTGTATTCCTTCGCCCAGAGCACCCTCAGCGGCCAAGGTCTGACGCCGACCTGAAAGAAATTGGGTGCACCGAACTGCTGCCACGTAACTGAGACGGTTCATCGGCAGCCACGTTTTCTTTCGCTTCTAGTCAAAAATTGCAAGAAAAGCGATATGAAGCCAGTCATATCCGCGTCTTTCCTCACTGTACAACTGCATCACGTCTATAGTCAGGAAGGGCTTGAGATGTATTGTGGGTGAAGTTGTTGACCTTGCTGTCCTCCTTGTGACGCCAAACGAAACTGCATTGTTGTGATCTCAGACTCATTTGATGCTTCTCTATATGGGATTGCGCTACACCATACTGTAGTTATGGAAGGTACTACTATGCTGCATTACCTTGTACGATATGAGTCTAGTTCATACGACTACTGCTACTGCTACGGCTACGGCTACTGCTACTGCTACTGCTACTGCTGCTCCTACTACTACTACTACTACTACTACTACTACTACTACTACTACTACTACTACTACTACTACTACTACTACTACTACTCCTACTCCTACTCCTACTACTACTACTACTACTACTACTACTACTACTACTACTACTACTACTACTACTACTACTCCTACTGCTACTGCTACTGCTACTGCTACTCCTACTCCTACTCCTACTCCTACTCCTACTGCTACCGCTACTGCTACTGCTACTGCTACTCCTGCTGCTACTGCTACTGCTACTGCTACCACTACTGCTGCTGCTACTCCTATTCCTAGTCCTACTCCGACTGATGCTGCGTCTCCTATTCCTATTAGTACTACATCTACTACTGCTACTACCACGACGACTACTGCTGCTTGTAGTGCTCGTGCTAGCGTGGCAGCGACGGCGACGACAACTGCTATTGACTATAATCATCTAGTGTTCCTATGCGATACCATACGGTACCATTGTTTGCTAGAGTACTGCTTCTCCACAGTCTGCTTCCACGAGTTTGGCTCAACCTCCCAAACCCAGAAGGGCGAAACCAAGAACCGGAAACCCCAAACACTACGGTTTGTGGTGGTTTAGGGTTTAGGCTTTTAGGGTTTAGGGCTCGGGGTCTGAGGGTTGAGGGTCTGCACCCAGAACCCCCGGAGGTCCTTGCCTGCGCTCGTTTCAACTCATAACAATATGGGGGTTTCCGAAAATAGGGGACCCTAATAATAGTACCCTACATAGTAGGATCCTTATTATAAGCACCCCCAAATAAGGTACCCCTAATTTTCGGAAACTCCCATATAATGCTACGAAGTTCCAAGGCAAGAAGCTCCTCGGGCACATCGCCAAGCTGAAGATCACGGCCTCTGAGGACGGGGGTTCTGAAGTATTCGTCAAAGCTCGTTTTGTGTTTTGTTGTTCCTCCTTTTAGGGGGGTTTAGGGTTTAGGCCTTAGCGCGTTGGTGGAGGTTTCAGCTAGACTTTGGTGCAGTACAGTATGGTATACAGTAGTGCCAGGAGTCTCTGGGCGTTGTGATGTTTAACGGGCTCGCGAATTAGGTGCTGTGTGGTTTTGGGAAGCTCTCATATAACCGATGCAAGCACCTGTGAAAAAATGATGGTTAAGGTCCCGGGTTTAGGGCAGTCACGTTGATCATTTGTTCTCTGCTAAGCTCTGCGGAGTGCTCTGCGACGTTGCCAGACAGTATACCTACGAAACTCGCAGCAGAGGCGATTTCATCAGCCCGCAAGCATCCTAAGCCAAACCCCAAAACATCCGACAACCCAAGAACGCGTGAAGAGCATTGGAATCCGGTTTGGGGAAACCCTCCATAAACCCCTAAGCCCTGAACCCTGAACACCCAAAGCCGCCGAACCCCTGGACCCAGGATTTCGAGATTCTGGACACCTCGTGCGATCCAGCCGCCTTACAGGATCTGAAGCCCACCGCCGACGTGGCTGAGGCTTCAGCTTCGGAGAAGCCTCCAGAGGCCAGGGATTGGGTTTCGACTGTTGGGGTTTAATGGCGTTGAAGGTTCAGGGCTTAGGGTTTTGAGGTTTTAGGGTGCGGGCACTTGCTGCAACTGTTGAAATAGCCAGGAGCAGTAGTCGGACTTCCCAATCATATCAGTTGCTCTTGAGGCTTGCACGTTCAGCAGCAAAATTCGTGGCAGTGACAGATCTGTGCCCAGCACGCACGTAGTGCTGCGGTGCTAAGAGACGTGCTGAGCTGTCACACTGTAGTTCTGGACATATCACCCACCATCAAACTAACACTGCACCCCATTGCTGTGCCACAGACCCTCAGAACTCTAAACCCCCCGAACCCTTAAAGCCTTAATTAAGCCCTGAAGGCCACAAAACCTACACCCAAAACCCGAAGCCACTACACGGACCTAAACCCTCCCTTAACCCGAAACCCTAAACCCTGAAACCCGAATCCAGAAGGAGCCAGCCAGTCCGGCTCTCGCAGATGACACATTGCCGAGCCTGGCGGAAGAGCGGGAGAAGCTGGGCCGACTGCGCGAGGAGCTGCTGACTTAGGGTCTAGGGTCCTATAAACCCTAATATAGGGGCCTCAATATTTACCTATACTCTTTTGGGGGTTCCTTTGTACAATTAGAGTGTAGTGAGCCCCAATGCCCTATCTGATTCTTAAGGCCCCTACATTAGGGTCCCGTAAACCCTAGACCCTTAAGCCTAAACGTTACGGGGTCTAAGTCAGCTCTCACAGGAGATGCAGGGCGACCTCCAAAAGCTTTGTGACTGCGTCCAGGTGGAGGCAGAGCGATTGAAGGCCCCCCCTCTGAGAGTCGAGGAAGGTAAAACTCTACGGTTTAGGGTTTACAGTAGAAGCCAGAAAGTTGGAATATCATTATCGTACCTCCTCTAAGGTAAATTATAGGTGATCCTACCATTAATCCATATTCCAACTTTCTGGAGTTCCCTTTAGAGTTTATGAGTTGAGGGTCCAGTTCCTAGGGCCGATTTTGGTTTTGGGCTCTTGGGGTTATGGTGCTGGGGCTTTCGGGATTCAGGGTTTTCAAGTCTTCCGCGTTTGGGAGTTTAGGGTTGTGGTACAACATGTTCTCAGGCAGTATCATGGCAGTCGGCCGTCCCTAAACCCTAAACCCTAAAGCACGAAACCCTAAACCGTGCAGCCACTCGCTCAAAGAACCCTGACCCTCAGCCCTAAGCCTTTCCAACATGGTTGGTCATGCACGTCTGCTGGCCTGCGTTATAGCTGGCTACTGTCCTTAAGATTCGTTTTTCAATCGGGGATGTACTTCGTGCCACGGGATTAGGGTTTAGGGGCTTCGGGGTTTAGGGTTTGTAAGGTTTTGGGTCTAAGGGTTTGGGGTTTAGGGTCACCCCAACGGGTCACCCCAAACCCAAAACCCCTCCTCCTGTTTAGGGCTTAGGCCCACGACGCCAAGCCTTCTAGCCTGCAAAAACCTTAGACCCTAAAACCTAAACTGTGAACCCCTACAGCCAACAGCCCGAAACCAAGAACAAGCTACCAACTGCCGGAAACTCTTAAACCATAAAGCCTCGAGCCCTGAACCCTAAGTCCTTAACCTTTAAGGCCTTAAACCCCTAACCCTAAACCCTCAAGCTTTAAACCCCTAACCCTTAAACCCTTAACCTTTAAACCCCTGCACCAAAAGAAAGCGAAGGCCTTGCCAGCGGCCGCCTCTGGACTGGCCGCTGACTTGGCTCAGGACAGTGGTTCAGGGGCTTTCGGAGTTTAGGGGTTTAGGCTTAGGGGGTTAAGGGTTAAAGATTTAGGGTTTGGGGCTTTAGGGGCTTCAGGGGTTTATGAGGCTTTTGGGGTTTAGGGGCTTTAGGGGTTTATGGGGCTTTAAGGTTCTTTTCGTCAGGGGCTTTTCGGGGGTTGAGGGGCTGGAAGAGTTTAGGGTTTAGGGCCATTTCCTTAAGCCCGAAGCCCAAAACGTTAGACTCTGGACGTGGGCAACAGTCCAACAGGTCAATCTGCTGCTACGTATTATGATAATACTACGATAATGATACTATGGTAATACTATATTTAAACCCTTAAAAATAAGGTCACAAGCTCCTTTGGGATTGCCGGCCTTTGACGCTGGATGGCGTACTTCGTGTAGGCTTCAGGACGTGAAGCTTTAGAGATGTCTACAAAGAAGTGGCCTTATAATACTATCATAGTACTGTAACACTACTATAACAGTACTATAACAGCGTACTCCAAAAAACTACTATAGAAATACTATAGTAGTACTCATAATGCCATACTTCTACAATTGCCCTTGGTCGTCCACAATCAATGCTTCTTAGCTCGACATACTATTTGCTCAGCGCATGCTTTCGCCTTCCTATACATGTTCTGCCAAGAAGAATCGAATCCTTTTCTCGTGAACTATCGGATCACCTTGAGAGCGAAGAAGAGGATCCGCAGTCTGAAACCCTAACTGTTTATGCCAGCAGGACTGAGGGGGGCTTGATTAGCTGCCGAGCTGGACCTTGCGTCCATGACTCATACCCTAAGCCCCAAACCCACCTGACCAAACGTTTGTCGTTCCGGTTCTGCTGTGCTGCAATGCGGTTGCTGGCTATCTGTGTATAAGTATATTTTTTCGTACCATTGTCGTATTCAAGTATCAGAACCGTACCAATATGTCATTAGATTATATAGTCTTATGGTAGTAGAATGTTTGACCACCATGCTTGTTGACGCTCTTTGCCCCCAAATGCCCCAAAGCAACAAACCATGTAAGTCCTAAGCCCTAGCCCTAAACCCCCCAAACCCAAGCCCCTACACCAAAGCCTGACATGCCTAAGGTGCAAGCCCTCTGAGCGCCCACCTAAACCCCCAACAACTTCAAATCCTTAGGTTTGGGGAAACGCCACCCTACATCCTAAACCCCTGTTTCGGATACCGTCAGGAGTGCTTGCAGGAACTCCAGGCGGCCCATATGGCCGCTGAAGCAAAGCCGATCCATGTGCTTGGACGAAGTTTAGGGGTTCAGGGTTCTTATTATGGCTCTAGAGGGTTGGGGACTTAGGGCTTAGGGTAATAGGCTTCAGGCGCCAGGATTTGGAGAATGTGGGGTTTGTGGATTTTTTGGGACCCGGGTTTCGGGTTGAGGGTCTAGGGGGACTGTTGCGAGTTAGTTCTTGCAGATGAGTTGGGGCCAAACACTCCCGGTTTGGTGCGTAGTTAGTTGAGGATTCGAAAGAGTTGTTGATCATAAGATCTGTTTACCGCTTGGAATGAGCGGGTTGGAGCCCCACCTGCCCAAAGAGGCCGGTAAGCGCACTAAAGACGCCCCGTCAGTGTAAATTACAGTATAATATACTATCGTACAAAACAGTATAGTATACTATAGTATAGTAGACTATGGTATACTGTACATAGTACACTATAGTATAGTAGACTGTGGTAGACAAAATTGTACAGTATACTATAGTATATATGCTGAAGTATATTACAGTATAGTATGCTAAGTATAGTACAGGATAAGAAATCAAGGTGCCGCTCTTTGGGAACACTGGCGCTGGCAAAAGTACGCTTCTGAACCTTTGTGGCATTATTGGGAAGATCTTTCACTTATGTGTTAGGGTTTAGGGCTCAGTGTGTTTACGGCCTGAGGGTTTCATCGCAGTTCTTTCGGCTATAAAAGCTTGAAGTCTAGCTTGCAGTGTATAAGCCCGCGACTAAGCCCCAAACTCCTAAAGCCTATGGGGTTGACTCACGGCTCCCAGCTGTACCCCCACCATGATACGACCGGCAGCAGTAGTATCAGGGTTAGCAGTAGAGAAGCTTTTCACTAACATGGACATCAAATAATAATAATAATAATATAGTACAATAATCGTACCATCACACTACTAGAATAAATACTATAATACAAATATTCTATGGTTGTATTTTCCTTGGAAGCCAACAGCTGACGAGGAACGCGGTGCTCTGCCAGGACAGAAGGATCAGGGTCTCGGGCTTACCTAGAGGCTTGGTTTAGGGTTTAAAGTTTAGGGTTTGGGATTTAGGGTTTAGGGTTCAAAGAAAGATGCCTCGCGCTGGGCTGCTGGGTTCCTCAGCCTTCAGACCACATTTGGGGAGCTTCGAAGCCTATCAAGATTACATGATAAAATGTGTGTATCGAATATATGCATATATATGTGTACATGTATGTGTGAATGTATGTATAATACACTATGTTGTAAAGGTTGCTGTGGTTTGGCACCTGGTGTGCTGGGGTACTTTTTGGGCTCCGATGATTTTCTTCATCCAAACAGCCACCGACTTGGACCCTTCAACAAGCCCTGAACAAGCTGACAAACACTGAACCCCAAAGTATAGGTCCTCCATCATCCGGCTTTCAAGCTGCATGC